TCCTAACTAGTTGCAAAGAAGAAAACTGAAAAATTGGATTTTTCTTGAATCATTCAGAATGAAATGGAGCAATTTGGTCAATGTGGTTCACTTGAGACATCTGCAGAAAACAAACAAACAAAAACAGAAAGTAGAATTCTACAGAAAGTAGAATTTTCACAAAACAGAGATAGGGGTGAGTCTCCCTGTGTGCATTATAGCTGTTAAAGTGCATTACTCATATAACAGTGAGTAATACAGTGAGAACAAGCACCATAATCATCTTTCTGAATGTACGTAATCTTAGATTACATAAGAGTTATTACTTCTGTGATACCCATTGTATTATTATTATTATTATTTATTTATTTTTTTTTTTTCATCATAACTATGTGACGTGTATATTAAGAAATGCTGAAATAGAGGAGCTCTGGCGTAAGAGCTCAGTTTTTGTTGACTTCAGCCGTGGCCTTCTGACTCCTTGTTGATCTGACAGCTGGGCAGGAAAAGCTCAGTGTTGCAAACAGCGGGGAGAGAAGGGGTGCTTGAATGATAATTCAAAACCACACAGCTTGTTCAAACAGCTGACACATTGAAGGCAGCTACAGGAGGAGGGCAAGTAGTTTTTAATTTTAATTTTTTTATTTATACAAAATTCAGTGTATTTCTCACATGTTCTTATTTTGCCACCTTTTTAATATTGTTCCTGTATCTTAAACATGAAGTCTGAATCTACTCTATTAAGCATAACACAATAGAGAATTATTTAAGAGCAAGATTTTTTAAATTTATCAGTCAAGTGACCTGCTGATATTCCTTACACCCACTGACCACAATTTACATTGCATATGTGTGTATTCTGTTGTGCCAAACAAAATTGTCTTCATTGGAAATTCACTAAAATGCACAGAAATAACAAACCTGAAAAGTCTTTATAAATGACAGAAAAGATTAGGAAATGGTAGATTGAGGTAATGGGAAACATTTAAGAATGGAGTGCAGTGCACTTTGGAGGAGAACAGTCCCTGCCTTTAACATCCTGGGTCCTGATGAAGGACGTTAGTGTCACTGTGACTTAGTAGATAGCCTTCTGCCTCCGGGACTGAAAGTTTTTGGCTCAGATCCATTTAGTGCATTACTGGGGAGGCTGTGCACATCCAGAGGTCATGTTTTGCGTGAGATGTGCAGTGGAGGTGGCCACAAAACTTTTTGACATCTTCCAAGCTCTTATTCCTGTTTTGCTACCAGATAGAGCTCAATATTGTCCCTCTGTTGTTCCTTGCACTTCCAAAGTGCACTCAGCAGCTGAGGTTAATTCTGAAAATAAATAGGATAGCCCTCTTTTCCTTTGGATGCTCCATGCCTTTGCATAAGCATAGTCAAAAAAAAAAAAAAAGTTCTCTGTCCTATTTATTTTTGTTCTTCTTAATACTGTGGTGGGATGGGAAATTCTCTGGAGTAACCCAACCCTAATATTCCCCCCCTTTTTTTTCCATAAATTTTTGTACATCACACAGTCTGTGCAGATTAGGGGTCATGGGTAAATCTAGGAATATAAACCTGCTTAAGGTCCTTTAGTATCAAACTGTCAATGTTTTACCATGTTCTATAATGTTAATTCTGAGGAAATTCTCATCTGCCTGCATTGCCTCAGTAATGAGATCAGTTGTGACAATGAGTGACATCAAAATTTGGAGAGAGGGGTTGAAGTTCCATTTTGGGTGCTTCTGGAGGTTTCCAATGAACGGTTTTCCAGTGCTTGGGTGAATTTCTCTTTTTCACTCAAGCAGTCAGGTTTCTTTTCAGGTAGAGAGGGAGCAGAGTGTGTCTGAGGGTGCCTTATCAAGGTTTGCTGGGGGATGATCTTGAGCAGTGGGAGTCTGCCCGGTGCTCAGCAGGAGGAGTTCAGGTTGCCAAAGGGCAGGGGAAAAGGGCTTGGTGTTTTTTTCTGTGGGTCCATGGCTGGAAGTCCAGCTCTTGCTGCAGCACCCTGTAAAAACAAGATCCTTACAGAAAGGCAATTTTGGTTTTGTGAAGCCCTTCCATGTAATTATCCAATATAGAAAACGTGAAAATCTGTGTCAGCAGTGAGCCTGCTGGGACTCACAGCAGGGAAGAGTGTGATTAACAGACAAACACAGCAGCAGGCAGCCAGGAAGGGCTCAGCACAGAGGGAGAACTGGCTGGCTTCTCAAGGAATATGTCCCAGCCTGGAAACAAGAAGTGGGTGTATGTGTAAAGCCAGTGCCAGGAAAGAAAGTTAGAAAAATGAAAAGAATGGGCTTAAATCTCTGTTCCTGTTTCACTGTATATATGTGAGTGGACAGGAAAAGGGTAAGGGTAGGAAACTGGTAGAAAAGAGGTAGGAACAAGCTGTGTGGCTCAGAGCCTGGGCCTCAGATTAGACTCAGGAAAGCCTTTTTTTTTTTTTTGACTGATGACATAATACTTGACTTTTGGATCCATCATGTATCTTGATGCCTCTGTTTCTCCTCCTCTCTTGCCTGCCTTGTTCTGATGAGATGGTACTGAAGCCAGTGGCAGTCTCTGAGGGCTGTACACAGCCAAAGACAACACAAATCCTTTCATAACTATGTCTTGCAGGTAATCCAGCACTATGCATATAGCTAAAGACAATCACAAAACCCAGATACACATTCAAAAGCATTTCCACTACATTTTTATGGGCATTTCCAGAAATTGGCACCGTGGCACAGGCTCAGGTCTGTGTGAGACATGAAGACTCTGTGTGCATAAACTGATAAGCTGCATAAACTGAAGCCATGTGCATTTTCACTTTTTCTCCTGTCCATATAGGAGGGATTCATCTCACCTGACTTTAGGGTCTAGATGCAGCTGCGTGATCAAAGGTGTCTGTGGTTGTTTGAAGCCATTGTACACTGTCATGAACATCTCCATACTGCTGCTATCTCAGTTTTGCACCTCTCTGAAATGGCTGTAGAAGCTGCAGGGAAAATACCACAGCACCTAAAATGACTCTAGACATCTAAACTTAGGCCACTGTGTTTGTGTATTGGGGATCTACATGTATATCTTAAACATAACATTCCTGCTCTCCTTTAATAGTAAAGTTCTAGTTAAGGAAAGTTTATTAACTACCTCAGCAGACAGGAATTGCATCTAAACTCCACTGACTGCATTAACCAGATGTTTACTGACTATAAAAGAACTGTGATGGCTAGTTCAGATGTGGAGACATGCACTGCAGACATCCAGAGTGAATCAGGTAAATCTCAGCCGATACCAGAGCACTTGCTGAAGGACAGAAGCCTGTAGCTGCTCAGGTGAGGAATAAACATATGTAGCAACAACAAAGTCATGCCAAACAAGTAGAAAATAATGGGGTATAAAAAACAATGTAAATAATAGGGATTTATGCACTTTTCTCATTTCATTTGATTTGCTTATTTGCTCTAACAGCCTATGTTGTAATCTCAAACTATTTGACAGCTGGCTCTTTAAGGATTTCAGCTCAAAGTGTATAGGATGAAACAGAAGAAAAAAAAAAAAAGAGAGAGAGAGACAAAAAAAGGTTTTTTATGAAATCACTTTTAGTTTTTGTGTAAGTAAAAAAGCACAGAGAATTATTCCAGAATTCTTGTATCAAGGTGTGTTAGAAGTCACATGGAAACAAATAAAACATCTAATCTTACCATGTGGGAGGAATTAAGCCAAACTTTTAATTTTCAAAAGATACCTTCAGACTTTTCCCTCCCTTTGAAATATGCATGTAACTATGTATCTCACCTCTGAAACTTTAGAGGGAGAAAGTTCCCTTGAAAGTCCATAGCCTTTATCTCAAATGTGGAGCTTGTCAAGCTGTTTGATCAATGTCTGTGGATTAAAGCATTAGAATTTGAAAGGAAATTATACTTAAAATTGTTTGGGCCTGATTCTGTAATCACCTTCTGTAATCTATCATCAAGGTGAAAGATGGTAGTCACCCATGATGTAGAGTTATTACAAGTTCACGGTTGTTGACCTGAGTCCCCCACACAGCCTGCCAGTACTATGAAAGAAATATACAAGAATACAGTCATGGATTTTTTTTTTTTCCTTATCAAACCAAGAGAAAATCATCACTCCCACTTCATCTCTTATTTGCTAAATAGTGTTCTTCAGGCCATTTGCATTTCTCTTTCGCAATCAAGCCTGTTAAGCACAAGTTAAGGCTGCAAGAGCTTTCTACTACAATTCTGTCTTCTGTCCTCATTCATGTGTATCTGAAGTGATAAATTAAGTCTGAAGTTACAATATGCAAAGCTGTAAAATGCACCTCAGCCCACTGAGTGCTCTTGTCACCAATACAGAAATGGAAGACAGCTTCTAGGCTATTCAGGAGCATCATGCTACCAGTACAATTCCTAGTCTTTACAACAGAGACTCACCAAATGCATACAGAATTAAAGTATATAATTCAGAGTAGGTAGTGGGATGTTTATGCTTGTGGCCTGTGGAAAAATGTCCACTGGTATTTAATTCTATGCCTTTTGCCTGGTTAAGCAGTCACTTGGCTTGTTGGAGAATTCTTTAGGCACTCATTAAGCAGAGAGAGCTTCTATTGAAAAGAGACAGGGTCATAGTTAGGTTAAAATGAGTTCAATGTGTGTTTTCACATATACTGCTGGTACTGACAGAGTCACTCCAGGTTTGTGCTGATACCACTTTTACATACCCATCAGAGCAACACAAGGCCCCTCACCGTAACAGGGTGCAAGACAAGTGAAAGATCATTTGGCCAAAACGCCACTGGGGATCAGCCTTTAAATCCAGATGATCTTCAACAGAAAAGTGCCCAGGAAGAGTTTTGGGGGGGTGGAGGTGGGGTACATATTTTTAATTTTTTATTTTTTAACCCCAAATAATTTGTGCATCTTCCCCCACTCTTCTCTAGCTAGACTGGTAGGATCTTTTCCTTTCATCCTTCCTGAGCCACACAGAGAGCTTTCCATCTAGCCTGTGTGTCCTCAGGAGGTCAGTGCTTGGTGGGTACAAAGATGTTTTGGCCTTGCTGATCCACTCATCCATCAGGGCCACTTCTCCAGTGCTGCATTAATGGAGATGGCATGCTGGGGGACAGGGCAAGGACACCAGGCTTTCTGTGTGGTGGGGAGGACTGGGAGGAGAGCAATACTGGGATGTGTTTGAAAAGGTGACCTTGGTGTATCTACACAGAGACACAGAAGACGTTGCAGCAGAGGGAGATCTGACTCCAACATCTGTGACGGAAAGCAAAGACCAACAAGTCCTATCTGGAAACTGGTTTGTTGATGAGTCAGGTTGGTTGATGTATCAAGTTTGTTTTTAAAAACATTTTTCAACCTGTGATTGTTTGCAGCAAGTTTCAAACCAGATTGTACTGGCAGAGCAGAGTATGTGTTCAAACTCCGCTGAAAGCCTGCAGCCAACAAGAGAGATAAAGGCATTCTGTTCCTTGCACTGCACAATAATAGAGAAGGCATTAACAATGCTGAACTGAAAAACAAGCACTCTGTTTAGATAGCTTTGTGCAACAATAACAGGAGCCTGTTCATGAGCTCAGTGTACTCTTTATTTACTAGGTACACTATGTACAAATTACACAAACTTACTCAAGCCCCTGGAATTACAAAATTCACAAGGTAATTAATCAGAGCTTGACAGCACAGCAGCGGCCACTTCACCTCAAATCCAGTGTCAAAGAGGGAAGATAATTTTGTGATGCAGGCACAAGCCTGTGCTAGAGGACAGCTGTTTTTTACTCCTAGCTTTGTGCAGTCAATTCTGCTTGAGTTCTCATGGGAATAATATTTCTGATTGAACAATCTGTCTGTGTTAATAATATACATGTGAAATTTGGGAGTGAGGGGGCAGGGTTATCTTTGGACATAGACGAATACTCAGTCCAATCTGTGATTAATCTTGGAAGTATCTATATGATTCTCTAAAAAAAATAATTGCATGTGATATATATATATATAAATATATATATAGTATGGATGACCTACCTAGTGCAGAGGCAGCAGCATCTGTAAGGTAAAGTGAGGGTCATCTTGCCTTCAGAGTTTCTTTTAGGATGTTTAGATTTTTTTTTTAAATTTTATTCTTGAAGTTCAAATCATTCATAAGGCCTGGGAAAACAGACTCTTGGTGTATGATTTTGTGAACATCTTCGTTGTCCAAGGAGCTGAGTAACTTGCTATTTATATGCCAAATGGGACAACAGAAGTATGAGTATTTGCAGTAAGAGGTCCTTAGCCAGGAACTATACTAAAAACCAAGTAGTTGGTTAGTATTTTTTGTGGTAATCATAAATTGCCAGGCTGCAAAGCAAATCTCTGAATAAAACTAAAACAAAGCAATCAATCAAACAAACTCCATAAAGCACATTTATGAAGTTGTGGAAATTCTGAAAGGAACTGAAATCCTTTTGGTGAGCAATGGTGTAGGGTATCCTGTCTTTCATAAAATTTTGCCACGTTGGCCTCTCCAGAGACTCCAGGCTCACATGAAAAAGATTTTGTCATTATGTTCAGCTTTAGTTTTAGGCTGTTTTGTTCAGTCACTGTGTTCCAACACTAACCACAGCAATGTGAAGTATGAACTAGTCCAGCACTGCTGCAGATTGTGAACACTCTAACAATGCTAGTCAATGTTTGCCTGTATCACAGATTTTAACTTTCTGATTGTTTCCTCTATAATGAAATATCTGAAAAACTTCCTGATGCTATAATTATCTCATGTAAGTCAGTAATAAAGTTAAATGTGTATGTTACTTGCAAAACCCAAGCTTTTGATAGATGTTTACAATTTTTAAAGCATGTTGGTTAGATTATATTTTTTTTTTGGTCTCCCTCTCTCAGAGGTGTACCTACACAGACCCATGGTAGCAGGTACATCTGTTTGGATATGAAAAAGGATATGAAAAATCTTCATAAATTTTATAAGAACTGACATATTTCAAAATTATTTTCTGTAAAATATATGGCCTATACAGAATAAGTGATGGGGAGGAAAAAAAAAAAAAAAAGAAATTTTCACTGGCAGAACCTTTATATGACTCTCCAGTGTCATTTGTTTCTATATATTTTTAATGAAAAATGGGAAATATGAACTGGATTTTATTGCCTTTTTGAAATAGCAGCATATGGAATTCTGCTCAGACTAGCAGTCTCTGAAATGCATGATCAAACTCTCTCTTAGATTTCCTTTCTAAAGATTTTTCAAAAAGGCTCAGTGGTGAAAAGCATCTTTCAAAAAATGTTTCTATAAAGGGTTAGATTCTAAAGAGGTTGGAATCTTTGTGCATGTTAACATATCCTGCTGTTACTATCATAGCATCTTCATGTAAAATAACGATAAGAAAAATGGTCTTCCTCTCTCAGCATTTTTTGCTCTTTTCTGTAAGAACAGATTGCTGTTCTACTATCTGTACTGAGTTTGCACCAGCTGTATCAGAAATTCAGCACAGGAAAGGAAAAAGGTCATTCACCTTGCAGATCCAACAGCAGAAATACTCCTCATGTCTTTGGCTTGAGACAATCAATATAACAAAGGGTTTGTTTCAGGTTATGTAACATTAGATGATGGGGTCACACATTAGGAGCTACTCCAAAAATAAAAAGGTTTAAAAAGAGAGAAGAAATGAATGAGATGTTCTATCTTAGCCCTAAGTTTTGCAGTGTAAAGGTACTTCTTGACTTCTGTGTCCAGCCTGGGGATTTTCTAAAATATCACAGTTTGAAGGTTTAGTTTGAAGCTTGATGCTTCATAAATCTAATTTTCTAGTGGATGTCCTTTATGACAATGAATGTTTTGCACATTACTCTGAAAGAACGTAGAGAATTGAGTTTAACTTATAGAGCTATCTGTGTGGACATATAGCTTCTTTGATGCCTAAAATAAATTTTTCTTAGCTGCAAGTAGTGGCAGCTGCCAAAGAAAATGGAAAATACCAGCTTAAAAATAAGCAGAAAGCAAATGGGAGCTTCAAGATATATTGCATAAAAGAAGAAAATGTCTTTAGATATCCCTATCTGCATTCCCCCACAGCCTCACCAGCTTAGAGACTGCCACGTTGTGAGGTCTGTGAGGGAGTGTCTTCCCTCATGGTGCTCCACAGAAACTATGGCAAAAATTTTAAGACTGTGGAAGAAAAGAGGTCTGTGAATGATTTCACTGCAATGGCCTTGAGTAGCTGTAAGAAACTTCACAAGTTATAATGCATTGTTTGTTTGTTTTTTAGCCAATATAATAATTTTGGATTTTTGGCTTAAAGAACACTTCTACAGGGAAAGTTGTATTTTTTCTGTCCTTAGTCATATCTCAGGTTCTCATTTTGGTTATGTGGATGCATCTGTGCCTTTCCTGAGGTTTAGATGTCCTGTTTCATTATTACTTTAGTTTTCTCATAGCTGTTCACATAGATCCTACCCACTTCACCTAGCAGCCCACCTCACTCCCATCTGCGCTGGGTATTTGTCCTTACACCAGTATGCTGGAAAAAAAAGAAAAAGCACAGTGTGGCAATGATTTACAAAGTCTGACAAAATGCCGAAACAATATTTCACACACCCCTCGGATCACAAAAGAGAACTTAATTTCTAGAGGGAACAGTAGCCATCTAACTAATTGATTTAAGCAGAAAACTCACTGTCAAGGTCAGACTAAAAACACAGTGAGGCAGGATATATTTTATTACATGGAACCTCTCAGTGTTTTAATTTGATTATGTTATTAGTTCCATGTAAGTGTATTAACCAAAAAGGCACGATTAGCTGAATACATTTCAGAAGTGACAAGGAGGCTGGTGTCAACATTAGCAATTCCACTATTAGCATCCAGACACTGTTTTTTTATCTAGGAAGGCAAGTAATCAAATTTTAAGGCAGAACTTCTCAGAAAAGACACCTGAAAAGTCCATCATGGAAAAGGAACATTTTGGGGATTTCTGCTTGTCCAGACAGAGTAAAAGCCTCTGGTCAAATGGTCAAAAAAGGACAGCTAACAGTCTTTTGAAGGTCAATTTAACCTTGAAAAATAAAACTGGAGAACATGATTCTAAACAAAATTTCCAACAGCAGAGAGCAGCACTGCCATGAGGTCCTATCTGAAAAATCTTTGCACACTGACAACTCATGATCACTTTTTTTTTTTTTTTTTTAAAAAAAAGCACAATATGTAATTTGATATTTTAAATATAAAGGAAATTGACTATGCATCAAGTATATATGAGGACATCAAGGGTAAGACTGAATTTCATTAGACCACTACGATATTCTTCTGACCATTACAAAGGCAAACAATTTATCAAAAACTAAATCTGCTCTGAACCCTGATATTCTTTTTTTTTTTTTTTTTTTTTTTTTTTTTTTTTCCCTTTGCCTGTCCTTGAACCTTGGGGCATTCAGCTGCTCCTTATGCTTCTCTTAGCATTTGGGCTAATCTTCTGATTTTAAATATCCTCACTGAAGAAATAAAAAGCTGAGAACATTAGGAATCAGACTACATCTCTCTGGACACCAAAAGGCAAGGACAGACTGGGCACTATGTTGAAAAATTACAAATAAATAAATAAATAAAACCAGAGATGTAAGAAGGAAATAAACCTGAAATTATGCAGGAATTATATATATATATATAAATATTATTATAATATTATGTATGTAATCAGATCTGTGTTCTCCTAGGGTAAAATCTTGACTCCCTCAAAGTGAACAGCAAATGCCTCCTGAAAATAAAGTGACCTTGATCTTACCTTTGATCAATCTGCAAGGTGTCAGGAGTGCTCAACCTTGGTGTTGTTGGCAGAGGCCACGTACACCTCCAACCCAGACCTACAGAGCCTGCAAAAAGGAAAGCAAGGCAAAATGTAGTGATGTGGTAAAAAAATACCTTCCCTGACCACAGGAGACCTCTCCAAAGGGAGGAAGCAATCAGATGGGATGAGAAGCCTGGAGGAGAAACTAGTGTCCTTCAGCCAGCATAGGTTGCTCTATCCCTCCAGCCCAGCAGCCTGTTTCTAGCTAGGGCATCACCAAACCTGGTCCTGAATACCCCCTTTTAACATTTTGCTGCAAAAAAAACTGTTTTTCCACTTCCTTGAGAGGTGAGAGGAGATGTCAGAAGAAATTCTTTGCCTCTTTGAGTTTAATGTAAGGTGAGTAAATCAGATGCTTTGGAATCACTTCATGGCTGCTCAAAACACAAACATTTGTCTTTCTGTTCTTCTCCTCCTACATATTTTGAATGAATTGGCTTTGTCATCTCAATGCAGAAAGGACAAAATCCAGGCTACCTCTTTTTAGTACCCTGATTTTGTCCTACCCGGACTTGGATATTTCATACCACTTTTCATTTGCAGGAAAAAATACAAGTGGTACTGTCTTTAGATTAACTCACTTATCTTAGAGTTGTATTGTTTAAGAAAGAATTTCTTGGACCTCTGTTATGTAATATGTGGGACATATGTATTGCGTATGTGTTATGCAATATGTGGGACAAACACCTTTAAAGGTTGAAGTTGTTTTACTTCCTTTAGAGTAGGTACTTGGACTTGGCTGCCTTTGTCCAGGAACAAATGTCTTGGGAAATAGTGATCTAGAGTAGGTTTTGTATCCATCAGATGCTGACGTAAAGTTACCTATTGGAAAGCTATGAAGATCTGGGACACAGAGGGCTAGGTGAATGAAAAGCAAGGCAAAAACTGTAGAAACAGAAAAATATGTGCCAATCATACGTCTGTGTTGCTGTCCAAAAGAAGAATGTGTGCATATCAAACTATTTATTTAGAAAAGGTTGTAAAAATAGTGTACATCATTAAGCTTTTATCCCTGGGGAGGTAAAGAAAATATATTTGGATCTCTCTGTCAGACTGTCTATGAATTATTGAGAGGGAAATCGTCAGTGGCAGCCAAACTGAAGTCATGGGTTTACCCTTAAAACCTCGTCATACAAGCCATCATTGTTTCAGGAAATCCTGCTGGAATCACTGCGATTGCTACCGTGAGTCCTTATTTTACAGAACTAGACTCTTTGGTACAGCACAGGAAACTCTTCATGGTTTTGTGCTTATTGAAACAGCTATAATGTATATAAATTGAACTGAAGTCACACCAGTCACTGATATGAATAGAACAGATCAAACTATTCATTATGAACCATACTTATTATGAGCTCTGCTTTTATACTGAGTAATAAATTACCAAAATCCCAAGAATGAAACAATTTAATGTGTCTTCCTCACTCAATGATCCTTTCTGTAGATTGTATTAATATTAGTTATCAAACTCCAAGGTATTTTTGGACTGTGAGCAGGCTGCAAGGAGTTGTAGCTGTAAGCGAAGGCTCTCTGAGCTGGCCTCTAACTGTTTTTTCAAGCTTACTAAGACATACACCAGCTGGCACATTGTGAAATGTCCTCTTCTAGCTCAGCTGGAAGTGAGAATGAGACTTTGACAGTTTTAAAACAGCCCATCATTGCCGAAGGGAAGGAAGGTAACATGCTGCTCCAGGGCACTATTCCAGGGTTGAGTCTTCCACCTGTGTTGTTTTACAAAAGGTTTTTCCCAAGAGGCAGAGATACGACCCAACAATGGGAGGAACAGAATGATGTTTCCCACTAAGTTGTATACAAGCAACAGGATAAAGTTATTTCTGGGAAATACAGTCCTGAAGATAACAGCTTTGGAGTGCTTTACTTGCCTAGAATAAAGAGAAAAAGTTAAAACTGTTGTAACATAACTTGCAACGTATTGGAATCATTTTTAAAGCTAAGGGCTGAAAAGAAACTGTATTATGTGATAGAAACTTAACACTAATAGTTGAAGAATTACTAAAACAGATACAAATTCTTAAGCTATTGGACATCAATAAATGCATTAATTACTATAACTACAAAATCCATGAGTCTCATAGGAAAGTATAGTCTTATATAAAACATTCAAATGCCCACAACTGATTAGCTAGTTAAGTCAAGGGCTTTTGAAGGCTGTAATGTAGTAAGATTTACTTCAAGAAATGGCACAGTTAATTTCTTATCACTGACAGCTTTCTGTTGCAAGAAAATCTATTTTTCTGCCTCAGGACTGTAGCTGATATGCCAAAGACTTTTTATTTTCTAACATACTTCTTTGGGCAGTGACATTAATGCTCTGACGCATTCTTGTAAAATTCAAGAACTGATCATAAAGTTTAAGAGAGATAGTTTTCCTTTGGAAATGTAAGTTCTTCCAGAAGAAAAAGAGGCCATGGTAAAATGTCACCTTTCATAGATTTTTTTTTTTTTTTTTTTTTTTTGGGAAAAGCAAACCCAATTGATTGGTCTTAGAAAGTAAAAGTATATTAAAGATTACAATGACTTTTTTTTTCTTTTTTTCTTTTTTTTTTTTTTTCAATCTGCAACAAATAAAAATATAAAAAGTATCTTACAGAGTATTAAAAATGTATATACTACTTTTGGTAAGACAGCGTGTTGCAGAAAGGCTTTAATGTCATCAAGTGATGTACAAAATTCAGATATCCCTTTTTAGCTGTAAATCTCCAGGCTTTGTGGGCCATATTTCCAATTTATGGTAATCCCCAATGAGAGTCTGAGGTTGGTACCCTAACTCACTTCCTGTGCACACTTAACCCCAATATCCCAGACCTGTCTGCCTGCCCACCTGCCTGGAATTCACAAGCTTCAGGGGTAGCTGCTTTGTGCCAATGGGCACCACGGCTGTGCTTTGGAAAGATACTTCAAAGCAAGGCTCCTCCAAATACCTTCTCACCTCATTACAGGCTTCAATTTCTTCTCTTTGCTGGTTACTATTGCAGGGTCTTTCTGCTGGACTAATACACTACTCTCACCTCAAACATTATAAAATGATTGTTCCAGGCATTAAAAGAACAAAAAAAATCTCCTTAAAATTTGGCATTATTTATTGCTAGCAAGTATCTCAAAAATAGCAAGCTCATGGATATGAAGAACAAAAAATTACTTGAACTTTATGGATCACTGAAGAGATGAGCAGCCTTAAACTGGATGTTTTATAATAGTTATGAGAAAGGCAGTGTGGTGCAGTGTGGCCGTACCCTGAATCCCCTGCTTTGCATTGCCTCTCCTCTACATTTTGGTAACAAAGTATTTGGTACCTTTTACTAATCCATTCATAGCTGGCTCTGCATTAATTGATTTTTTGAACACAGTCATCTATTAGTTAAAGCATGCAGCACAGCACATGTGGCAAATATGAAGTCGCCTTGGTGGTTCTCACTAATGGCATCATCAGGTAGCTGTCATGTTTCCTGACTATCTCTAGTGAGCTTAATGCAGAGGATCCAGTCTCACAAACAGATTTTGCATGGAAAACAGGAAACTCAGTGCCACTAAAACACTAAATATAGGTGTCCAAATGTAGCTGTCTACATTTGAGTGAGGTGTCTAAGCGCTTGTTACAGTCAAAGTCTGGGTGTGATTTTACCTGCCTACTCAGATCACTTGGGATGCTGACCGTTGTACCCACCTGGCTCTTGATACCAGTCAAGGAGATGTCCATGGGTCTTTTCATAACCTTAATGATTCTATGATTCAAGGTGGGAGTCTTAAGTATCCTGAGGCATCTCAAATATCACCAGACTTATCTGAGGGAAACTGATGAATCCTAGACCTCCACTGTTTGTAATGGGAGTTTAGTCCACACATAAACATCTGTATGCAAATACTCAAATGGGATGCATTTCAAAGGAATATCATGCATACAAAAAACATTAATATAAAATATAGGTTTATGTCCTCAGCTTGAGGTTTTATATCCCCTTCTAGTGCTTTTATTTATTAAAAGAAAACCAACGAAAACAAACAACTTTGGAATTTTGGTTATCCTGTTCATAGATCAAAAGAAAAGCAATAACATTTGCAGACACTTGCTAATCTCTTGATTACCATAACTTTGTGTACCTTTCCCTACTAAGACAACATGACGAATTTTATCTGAGCTAATGAGGTGGGTAGCTCTTAGCTGTAGCCCAGTCCTACCAAGACAGAGAGTGCTGAAATTGTGCATTAGGGTAGTTTCAGACATGCTGTGGCATGAAACAGGATCATGAGAATATACCAGGGATGCAGTCTATGTCCTTACACCAACTCAGAAAATTAAAGCCATTTCATGTAGGGTTACCCAATTGAGGAGAAAAAGGTCGCTTTGTAGGGTTGATGCTAAATACCCTAAGGTGCACAGGATGAAGATATGCAAGGTTTCTGGATCAATTTAGCAGCCACTTGAACACAGTCATTTTAATTCCTTGGCAAAATTAGCAGCATGCTGTGTTAATGGTACAGAGAAACTGATGAAACAGCCTCTCACTTAGATTAATTCCTCTGTGCCTGCTTGTTCAGAGCACCTTGTCACTGATCCGCCTCGTGATGGTCGTCAGGACAGTACAGATAGATCTGACCCCAATGGCATTCTGTCTTCTGCTGACACATGGTAATGTGGCTTGTGCACTTACATAGGCCATAATAAGAAATATGACTGTTACATGACATTTCTATGACATGCAAATACCATGTATTTTTCCCCAGCTGAACAGATAACTTCAGTTTGTTAAAATGTTTACTTCTGGAACACAAAGAAACAGTCAGGAAACTGTTTTGCTATGATAGTGTTGTTTGTGTTTTGATGTTTGTATGAGAATTTCATTAGGAGGCTTATATTTTCATCTTAATTTGGAATCGATATAATTTTTATTGTATTTGTACTGGTGTCCTAAAGAAGAATTTGGCCCAATGTTTTTAACATCATGGTTAATTCTCATACTTTGGGTTCAACTGGGAAATAAGAAAATCTTGATTACTCCAGGGCTT